TTGCGATCCGTTGCCGGACACAAAAAAAAAAAAAAAAAAAAAAAAAAAAAAAAAAAAAAAAACCACTAGGTGTGAGTGAGATAACCTAACAATTATGTTGAAGTGAAATCATAACAGTAAACATTCAATAGTGTTTGCTATGTGCCAGGAAAATCTTTAACATACTAACTCATTTAATCCTTACAACAACAATATAAGGAAAAGAGCCNAAAAAAAAAAAAAAAAAAAAAAAAAAAAAAAAAAAACCACTAGGTGTGAGTGAGATAACCTAACAATTATGTTGAAGTGAAATCATAACAGTAAACATTCAATAGTGTTTGCTATGTGCCAGGAAAATCTTTAACATACTAACTCATTTAATCCTTACAACAACAATATAAGGAAAAGAGCCCCAGACACAAAACTTTTCATGGAAAGCTGAAGGGAAGCAGATTAAGAAGAGTTGGTCAGGCGGGAAGTAAATCAGAGAGAGGTCATGGAAAACTGAGTTTTGAGAAGTAGGCTGAGGCATGAGATCACATGAAAAAATGAAGTGTCTATTTGATTTGACAATTGATTATCACAGACCTCAATGAGAACTGTTTCTAGGCCAGAATTCAGGCTGCGGGCTATTAGATGAAGAGATGAGACTTTATGTTAGGCTATTAACTATTGGAACAAGGAGACTAAGGAGGTGTGAAAGGGAGATGCTGAGTACAGGAGGTAAGGCACCTCCTTCCTGAGACAGGTGGGAAGAATGGATGCTGGAGTAAACAGGTCCTCTGTAGCAAGAGGCCCAGAAATAGAACAAATTCACAGCTCAAGACCATGCTCTCTGTAAAGAGGTATACTGTTCATTTGGTGAGAAGAGTGGTGAAGGCTGCAATGGTTGCTGGAAAATGACCTAAGGCATAAGTGGATAGATTGCTGGTCATAGTTCAAAGGCCTGGTGAAGCTGGAAAATTTAGTGGCATCAAACCATGGTTATGTGGTCTTTCTCTGATATGCTGGACACAAAAAACATATGTAAGTTATTATTGATTTATTTGGAGCAGCTCAGATTAAAAGCCATAACATTAAGGAAGCAGGTGAGGCATACCACTGATAATTTCAATCAGCACAAACACTCTGGTCAGTATATAATGTCAACATATATGTTTTCAAATCTAGATTTATATGTACTACTTATTCTGAGACACAGAAAAATCTTCAGGTAGAGTGGTGGAGATAAGCTAGGTAGGCCTGGCTTAACCTACTTAGAACCAATTAAGAATTCAGCATAAGAGGAAATTATTCTCTTAAAATCTAAGTGTCTTTAGCTGCCCTCCATAGCATATGTCTTAAATTCTTAGCACATGTTACTAAAAATCAATACATGTCCAGTCTGAGTGTCTAATATGCTCAGCACTTGGGGAGGGGTGCAGGTATGGTATAAAATACAATCTTTGCCCTAAAAGAGTATTATGGAAGACATGACTAAACAAATATAACCACCGAGTAATAAAGAAGATAATACAATTAAGTGCCAAAGCATATAATATGGATTTTTAAAGCTGAAATTTTTAGGAAATGTTTTAAAAGGAGGTAGATTAACTCCCAAATGGGATAAGAATCAAGTGAGTTTTTCTTTGAGCTTTATTAAAAAGTACCATCAGGTATGTTTATGGAAAAGATAAAAGATTAGGAATGGAGCTGTTACAAAAATTTTTGTTAACCTAAGTATCTGATCAAATGTACAAATAAAGGCCAAAAATACTAAGTATCAGTTCATTTAAATTTCTAAAAGTTATGAAGGTAACACTTTTCTTTGTAGTAGAATGAGCATTAAGATGTGGAGTGACAGGACCTAGTTTTGTGTGAAATTAGATAATTCACATAATCTTTCTGGTACCTCAATTTCCTAATCTGTAAAAGGGCTAGCGTATTATTACTTGTTCTTTCTACCCTCAAAAGGTCCGACTAAGAAACAATCTGATTTGAAAGTGTTCTATAAATATAAATTTTTACGTGTGGCCTACTAAAATGCCAAATTCATTACGGTAAGTAGAACATTACATAGTTCATAATAATAATTATGTGTCAACATGCAGATATTTGCCAAATATTAATATAATGGGATAAAACAGACGTAGAATTTCTTCACACAGTAGTTGTGAAGGAGAAACAAGACTTCTATTACTTAACTAAATCAACATCTCTATACTGGCTTTTGAATATTGTTAAAAATATCACCAGAGACCAAAACACAAGATAAATTTCATTTCTATATTTCAGAAAACCTACTTGAATACACTTTGAAACAAGAGTACAACAAAATAGAATATACTTCAAATGTTGAATATACAAACTATTATAGTTCAAATCTGAACACTGGTACTTTCCCTCTTAAACTTCAACTAAAAAAAAAAAGAAAGAAAGAAAAAAAAACTCCAGGTATGAGAGCTACCTGACAACAATTCATGCTGAGCCTGAACTTCCAAGTGACAGTAGAACTGAAACTGATATGTCTGCACAGATGCCAGGGCTAAGTGAGTGTGACACAGGCATGTTACAGCAAAAGGCCAGAGCCAACTGTTAATTTGTCCACAATTAAGAAACTGACAGACTTAAACTACCATATAAAATGTTACATGTAAATTCTATAACAATACTGTGCTAGGTACAAGATTTTTAAAATTTTTCTTTTAATAAAAAAGCTTTACACAAACAAGCCATTAGCTTATTTCAAGAAAGAAAACCGAAAATTAGTCTAAGGCCTTTGTTTTAAATCAGCTTAAGCTATATGATATTAAAAAAAAATCGCACTAGATCTTTTTTGCTATCCTCTTTCTGAAGCTTTTGGATCCATTCTTCAATTCACATTCTAAAATACCTATATTAGCAGAGTCTTCACATAGCACCAGTTAAGTGAGTACTGTGCGAACACAGTAATAATTGCTGGTATGCATATAAAATGCATCAAAAATTGCTATATGTAACAATGAGATCAGCCATCCCAACCCCTTCCTACTGAAAACTATATAACCTCTTACAGAATATGTTAGTGTTCCAAGTCTTAGTGTAACTTGATATTGTAGTGAGCTGCTTGGTCCCTTTCAATCCTTTTTCTTATTGACAGGTTCAGTTGTTTCCTACTGTAAGAGGCAGTTTTCTGTCAGCATCTCAATATGTAGTTCATTCCCCACTGAAACATGGGATAGGTAATTTATTTCCAGTAAGTTTGATTGTTTCCTTATATGCATTAAAAAATGTTTTAATGTCGTCCATTGACTTTTCTTGATGACTTCCCTTGCAAATGTTTGTCAGTACTATCACTAACAGTCTAAAAGTCCATGGTGGAGCTATTTTATTTCTCACAAGTCACTAGTCCTTCTGTTTTCATGGTTACAGGAAGGGCAATAGCAGAAGGAGCACTGACAACCACTACATGGGTCACTGTCTTGTTTCCATCTGCTGGTTTTTCTTCCACCAGCTGCAAAGTTTTCACATCATGTTCCTGCTTTTTTGCCACTGCTTCTGATTTAACCTCAGGTCCTTTTATGACTGCACTAATAACTCGAGGAGGAGTCTGGCCAGATGCCTGTTGAGTAGGCACTGATAGTCTCATTACAGGTGTACCATGGGCTATTGAAACAGGGGTAAGTGCTCTCACAGCCAGTGGGGTTCCAACAATGTTAATGCTTCCTGATCCAGTCAGATTTGACTTTGTCTGCAGCTGACACTGTGCAAGTTGTGTAGCTGGGATGGTAATAATTTTGGCAGGCTGCATGGTAATTTTTTCTCCGTTTTCAGTAGAGGCTGGCATCACAGTAGGGATTGTCTGAATGACTACCTTTGGAGAGGTTGCTGTAGTTGGACTATTGCTGGTTATTAATGGTGCACCTGCATTAACTGACTGAACTGCTACAGTTGAAATTTTCTGACCCAATGATGTCATCACAACAGGTACTTGCATCGCCACACGAACTGTCCTAGTAGATTAAAAGAAAGTTGATTATATTTCATGCTAAATTTAAAAATGGGTCTCTTGAGCAAAACTATGAATGCAAATCCAAACTGTATAAAAATAGTGCTCCTAAGTTCTGCAGATGTGCTAGCAATTCCTGAGGTTTAGATTATGAAATACCACAAAACAAATAGATTTAAAAATCTAAAGCCCACATTAAGCTCCATCTGTAAAATCATAAAAACCAATTCAGGTTTGTTGATACATCTACTTTAACAACAAAAAATACATTTAAAATATCAATCACTTTTGGGCCAGCCCGGTGGCGCACTCGGTAGAGTGCGGCGCTCCCATTGAGGGTTCGGATCCCATATAGAGACCGGTCCACTCACTGGTTGAGCGCGGTGTGGGCGTGACAGCGAGGGTTGCGATCCCGTTACTGGTCACAAAAAAAGACAAAAAGGAAAAAATATATATATATATATATCAATCACTTTTCAAAGTCCTGATAAGCAGGTTCTTAGAATGCTACTTTTATCTTTTTTTTTTTTTTTAAGCAGCTGGCCTATAAGAGGATGCAAACCTTTCACCTTGGCTTTAGAACACTGCTCTCTAACCAACTGAGCTAACTGGCCAGCCCCATGCTACTATTAAACAAAAGGACATTTCATTTTTACCAAGGAGACTTTTTTAAAAAGTAAATACATTACAACTAATGGTTTGCCTCATTTACCTTGGAGCTGCTGTTGCTGATGCAGATGCAGTGGTCGTAGGAGACCTGGATGAAGCATCGTGACCAGGAGAAGTGATATTCACAACTCTAGCTACACCCTTCTCTGCTCTGGAGCAGTTTATAGGAGATGAGTTTTTTCCACCTCGCACAGAAGTCGCTGCTTTCAGGAGACTTTCTGCAGACAGTGATACTCGTTCTAATGATTTTTCATCAGTGGCTGCTGCTAAATCTTCATTACAGGTTTCACTTTTGTCATCATCTATAACCACTATGTTTTTGGGCATATCCTTGAATTGATAGACAAGCCTCTGCCCTTCAACCTTTGCAAGAATTCCCCTTTGGTAATAATATCTGTAAGGGGAAAAAGTACTAAATTAATCAAAAGTGTTATATTTCCCCCACACCCCTTCTCCCCCAAAAATGTACAGTGGATACTAACAGAAACATTCACTCATTCCTGTAAGAGATAAGAAAGGAGGAGTTCCTACTGTCTGGACTGCTCAAAAAGCCACGGATTTGGAGTAGGAATGAAGTTGGAACTTTGCATGCCATAGGCACTGTAACCTTGAGGTCTATAAAGTAGCTAAAAAGTTCATTCTCTTTCTTAAAAATAATTTGACCTAAATATAAAATATTCTACTGTATTTTACTGACATTGGTAGAAATTCTATTCTGACTTACATACGTTATTAAAACAATCTGATGTTACATGGAAAAATTACCTAAGCCACACTTAGTATAGATTAATCTGGGACATGTGAGTACTGTTACATAAACTATGTACCAGTTGGTACTTACATACCAACACCCTTAATTAGAAGAAGTCATATACGTTACAATGAAAGAGTTTTGTGGATTTCTCAAACTGACAAAACTTAAGAGAAATATTCATATTAAGATAAATCCATTTATAACAAACTCACGGGAGCTAAAAAAGCAAATTAACTTTGGAGACAGTATTTCATTTGGATTTAGTTTAAGTTTTTTTAAAGGCCTACAACTTAATTTCTATTAAGGCATAGTCCTAAGTGCAAAAGCACATTTTCTGCAAAAGCAGACTTTCCAATGATGTTGAAATTTTAGGCACCTAGACTAAACTCTCCTCATTTACTTTTTTAAAAACCTAAGAAGCTTCTCTAGAATATCCCCCAGAATTAAAAGTTACAATACGGGATTCTGAGCCTCTCTTTTAATTAGACAGCTAACAGACAATATAAAGAGATACAGAAGTTTTGTTCAAATACTACCTCATTTGTGTTCTTACCTCAAAGCTCGTCCCATAGTTTCGTAGTTCATGTCTGGCTTGTTCTTATGCTTTCCCCATAGCTTAGAGACAGCCTTTGAATCCACGAGCTTGAATATGCCTTTTTCTCTCTGTGTCCACTTAATATACCGGGGACAAGTATTTTTATCTTGAAGTAGATCTAAAAGAAACTCCCACAAATAGGTTGTGTTTCCTTTAAAAACAAAGCAAAAACAATGATAGAAACTGACTGAAAATTCATTAACATAATTAAATACATAATTAAAAGCAAATAAAAGTCTGCTTCATTGTAACATAAAAATCCTAAATATACTTTTTTCTGGTTTTTAAAAAAGGTATCCCCTATGTATGTTTCCAGTTATGATAATAATATAATAGAGGTCCTAGATTTTGTACTATCATATAGCACCCTATCCCTACATTTTGAGTTCAGTAAAGGCAAAGGCATAATGTTTAGCACAAAGTTAACCTAAATTAAATAGAATCAAATTTATTAATTTACACAGATTTAAACTCTGAATAAAATAAATTTATTTGCACCTATGATTATTATATGGCAAGTCCAAATTCCATAATCAAAATTCATTAAAAGGCACTTATTAATTTTTATCAAATAGGCAAGCAATATGCAATGAAATGTGCAAAACTGTTACGTGTCAGTCCTAGGATTTTTTTGTAGGAAACATACTTTTCCTTTGATTCACCTAGAGGCATGAACTCTCTGAGACACATGTGTTACACTAGAGTACTTCAAAAAGTTTGTGGAAGGGCCGAGCCCGTGGCGCACTTGGGAGAGGGCGGCGCTGGGAGTGCAGCAGCGCTCCCGCCGCGGGTTCGGAACCTATATAGGGATGGCTGGTGCGCTCACTGGCTGAGCGCAGTGCAGCCGGTCTCAAAAAGGACGAAAAAGAAAAAAAGAAAAAAAAAAAAAGTTTGTGGAAAATGGGATTAGAAGTTAATGTGAATCTTTGCATGAACTTTTTGAAGACCCCTCGTATATTGCAAACTACCTTAACCCTTTAAGCATTCTCTTATCATTTTTCTCTGGACTACTAATCAATTTAGACTTGATATCAATGAAAGGTACTTAACACAGGTTTTAAAACATTCCTAAAATCTTTCTACTGAAAATACCTAGTACAGTGAAGACCGTATATTAAAAGGATTTCTTTATATATGAACAACTCAGTTATTAAAGACATTTGTGCTTCGGTCTTAAAATATGAGCTTCTTAAATGGAAACTATAAAAAGTAGTACAGCAATTC